TGACACAGGAACAGGAACATGTACACGAGTACACAAACACACAGTCACAAATTCGGCCCATCTACAGTGTTTTTACTTCCCGAACGAATTAAAAAAAAACAAAAAACAAACAAACAAACACAAAAACATAAACGCAAAAAAAACAAAACATGAGACCCCGAGGACGCACAGCCAAGGCCTGTCCCACTTTACAAAAAACGGTGCAGTAGCAAAGGAACGACCACGTCTACAAAAGTAACAAAAATTACCATACAATCTATTGTTGTGGAAGTGCTTGTAATTTTGGAAGTTTAGTACTTTTTTTTCTTTTTAAAGGATATCAATATCAATGCCTAGAAAATCACCAGTAAAAATAGCTCATCTCTGTAAAAATGTGCTAGCAGGACAACCCTTGGCTGTGGATTTTTTTGTTTTTTTTCTTTGTCACAAACTATTCTTTTTTTTTTGTACATTTTTTTTTGTTTTGAAACCATTTTCAACTCGTCTTCAATACAACAACAATAACACTGTTTTTTTTTTTCTTCTTAATACAAATATGTACAGAGACTTCCACTTGTTTCAAAATAATGCCCTGCACACTGATGCATTATCTAGGGATGAATGATGACGATGTTCTTCAGATTTCCTTCACAGAAACTGTCCATGCAGTTTGGTACCTGAATCGACAGAATGAGATCACAGTTTCTTTAGCCTAACAAAAACTCTTTTTTTTTTTGTTGTTGTCGTGTTACGTCTGTCACAGAACGGCCTCTTGCCTGCATGTAAAAGACACATTTATTTGTACAGAGTAAAACCCGCCCCTCCCCCACGAAAAAAAAAAAGTAAGACATCTAGATCCAGACCGAATGTTTTCAGCAGTATTTGAACCAGGTGTAAACATACCCTATCTTGAAATGAGTGGAGTGAGAAAGGCACACATGTTAAGACCACACAGCTTGGAAACTACAGCAAGGGGGGAGGTGGTTGGTCGGGGGGGCGGGGGTCTTTTGGTTTTTTTGCTCAGCTTGATGAAAAAGTGCCACTTAGCTTGACATTTCTTTCTCGTGAGTGGTTTTCTATGCGGTGCGCCCTGCTCCTGACAGGTAAAAGGTGCCCCCCACCCCCCCCCCCCCCCCCTTAAAACCTTAAACACACACCTGGATTTTGGTGCAGACTGGTTTCCCTGAAAGTTTAATTTCATCCCAGGTGCTTCAGGGGCAAACTGAGCCCTGACCAGTTTTGTTGTTCCTTTGCTATTTAGAATAATAAAACTCCATCACTCAGTACTTTTATGTAAATAAGAAAACATACAGTGCGTGGGCGCAGAACCGACCGTGGGCTGCGTTCGCTTTCTCAGCTGACATTTTTGTGAAAACGCTATGCTTTCATGGCCTCAGTGTTATTCATTTACATACCTCAGTAGACAATTTCATCAAGCAGTTTAAAAGGGGTCATGCCATATCAAATAAGTTAGGAGAATATTCACAGTCTTAACACTCTCGGGTAGTATTCTCGTGCATTTCAAGAGGAAGAATATGCTACTTTGTTAACCAAATGCATCCAAACTATCCTTCCTGAGGAAAGGTTACACAAGACGTGAACAACAGAGGGGAGTGTAGCGGTGGAGGGTCGAGGGGCGGTGGGGGTTTAAAAGTCATAAAAAGCTTTGACATTCTTTTGAGTGACGGACACGTATTTATGCAACAAACGCCTCCTCCTAAAACAAAGGGGAGATGGTGTAGCCTGGCAAATCAATTTCCCACTCCCACGCACTCATCTCATTTCACACGAGGCCTTGATCCAGCCGCTGCTATCGCCTCTAGCTTCAGCTGACTGGCTGACCTATGGCATTGCTCTGTTCTGCTTTAGCAGCTCTCCCCGGTCACCTGAGAACCAAACTCTGCTTCCTGTCAATCTCTTTTGGTTTTTTTTGTTTGGAAAAAAAAGAAAGTACTACTTCCTTTTTTCTAAAAAATACATTTTGAACCCCCTGAATCAAACACATGTCTCTATCCGACGTAGCCTACAGGTGGTTTTTTTTTTCTATGTGAACAGCAACAAACAGGTGGGACAACTCTATTGCCCGTGATCTATCTATTGGGGTTCTCACAAGTCAAATGCTGGCATTTTCAACGGTAATTCAGAAAGTGCACAAAGGAGTTTCATTCTACATTGGCTAAAAGCACATTTACAACATGCCTTTGACATCAACAAGGGTATCATACTGTACACCACAGCAGCTGCGACGCATCACTCAAAGGCAGGTTACACTAAAGTCTCCTACTTGCTTGTTTCATTACATTAGAGAGCTCACAGCGAGCAGGCCTTCACCATTAATAGTACAATAACTGCACAATGTCGCTAAACACTATGTGCAGAACATTATTCAGAGGCATCATCATCATCATCTTTTTTTTTCTATTTTTTTTTCTTTTACTATACATGAACTCACATGACACTTAGGAACAAAGAGCCAACCATCTAGTTTCAAATTGACATGTCATTTCTCAGATTCAGTAGTACAACAAACAGTAGATGTTTTTTTTTTTTTGACAGTTCTGGATCAAGGACAGACAGGTAAAGGAAAATAAAAGAAAGAAAGAAAGAAAAGGAAACCCATGAGAACATTTCCAAAGTAATGTGTCATCAACGATGTGCCTACTTTGCCTTCAGCTTGACTGAACGGTATGTTTAAAGCCACAGTTGAGCAGGTCTTAGTGATATTAAATAAGGTGTAACTGCCTCCTATTGATAACGCCCCCTCACGTCTCTTCTAAACAGCTAGTGATCCTTTGATAAGGTAATACAAGAGAAGAAGAAGAAGAGCAAGTCAACAATTACACTGGAAAAATATATGTATGTTTATATTCATATATATAGCATCTTTAAAATCTATTTATACAGAATGTATTTATAGTGTACTTATGGCCATCTTGGCAGAGAAATAAAGGCATCTGAAACAATCACCACTCTCTTGATGCCGTGGTCTTCTCAGGACCAGACATTGTTACATTGCAGAAATGCGAAGAATCAGGAAAGAAAGTGAGTTCTCTTCTTCTTTTTTTTTTTTTCTTTTCTCAGTGGCACTTTGTGCATCAAAAAATTAAAATCTAGAGTAAGGCTACAAGGGTGTGTATGTTTATCTGATAGAAGTTTGTCAAAAGGAGGCCATCCTACAGTATCCTCTAGGGTTGGATATGTCGCTGTGTTTGTGGTGTTTTAGACCCATACATCCAGACTAAAACACTGCTGGAAACAGAGCTCTATACATGTACCATTGTACTGATGAAAAGAATAAATAAGAATTGAAAAAAAAAAAAAAAAAAAAAAAGGTATTAATTAAGCAGCCATGGTACATCACAGAGGTTTTGGGTGAGCCGGTGCTGGCTGCTACAAAGCGCTTGGGAGAGGTAACATTTTCAAACTAGTTGTTTTTTTTTTTTTAAACTTTTCTTTTCACCTGACAAAAGCAAACACACAGAGACCAGATAGCAACAGAACAGTGATTGCTTTTGTTGGGTTATTTTTTTTACAATCAGCTGCTGGTATGTCTCGGTATTAGCAATCAAACAGTATTTGTATTGATTTTGTTTCTTTATTTAAATATTAGCAGTGGATCTTTGAGACTACTCAGACTCAAACCGTCACATCACGCACATAAATAACAAAATAAATATACAGCCATATCAGTCAATTTCTTTCATATTATTAAATAAATAATAAATACATACTTTTTTTTAACTTCTCAGCAGTGGCTTTTTGAGTGTAGCAGTAACAGAAGAAAAAAAACAACACAAACAAAAGGGAAAAAAAAACAAGAACCCAAAAAAATAACTTTTTTTTCGTTGTAAAATTATCAAAAAAAAGGAAAGAAGTCATTATAAAACATCTGCACTTAAAAAAATGCTTTTAAAAAGTACTCCAAAACAAAATATGCCTTGTCAGTTATCTATATAGATTCTTAAAATATTGAGACATCTGCAAATTTGACCATGATAATCAGTAAAGATGCAATTTTTTTTTGTGTGTGTGTGTTTTACAAAACAAAGTTAATAAATAGATTGCTTCAAATAAATAAACCTCAATAACATAAATGGCAATAAGTTACAATTTAAAAGTTCACAAGTTTAAATAATTCATATATAACAATAATTATTGTACCACAAAACTATTCATTGAAATGAAGTGCAATTCCTATGTCGATAAATACTATTGATATGACTAACTGAATTTGAAATGAGTGCACACTATTACTATTATCATTTCAGTTTTAGCAAAAAAAACAAACAAACAAAAAAAACGGGGAAAAGGGTTAATCTGCTGCTTTTTAAAACATGATATCATCTCTTCCTGGATGTGTCTTGTGATTTTCTTTTATCCTCCTGCTGACGTCTTTGCTGCAGTAAAACCACCCGAAGCAAACAAACCTTCAGTTTAGTGCATGCTTCATATTGCTGGGGTGTGTGTGTGTGTGGTCGTGGATCGGAGAGCGTTTCGAAGCCACAGTGAATGCTACGGGACGGCGATGAGAGTCTTCTCGTCCGGCGATCCCGCCTTTTCCTCCACGTTTGTTTTCGGCTGAAGCGAAGCACTATTTTCCGGCCCAGCGCAACGGCTTAAAAACCCCTCTCCAGAAACAGTTAAGGACACAAAAGAGACAACAGGTAAACATACAGCATATTATCAAAACCCCCAGATACAGTTTCTAGTAACATTATTCTTCTCTTCCATCCATTCTGACTGAAGGAATCTGTTTCCTCCGACGAAATCCCAGCAGCAGCATGGTGTGGATTTTGGTCCGCGTCACTTTTCTTCAACAGAGTGCTCCCTGGGTAGATTTTTTTTTTAAGTTGCTGTTTATTGAAGTAACCTGAATTCCCTTTTTTTTTTGTTTTTGAATCATATTTCAATATATTGTAGAGTATTTCAACATCTCTCCTTCATCTCTCCATCTCCACCTCGTCACGCTCTCTGCGCTTCAGGACAGTTTGCGTTTTCTCTCCGTCTGAGTGTGTCGAGCCTCAGACTTTGATGCCCTTCACGGCTTTGTTGATGCTCTCCAGCAGAGCCTTGTTCTCGGGGCTCTGGAAGCAGTCCTTGTTGGTGTACATGTCGGTCAGGGTGCTCACGTAGCTGTCGAAGTTCTGCTCAGTGATTGGCTCCTGCTGTGGTGCAAACGACAACCAATCGCAGCTGAGAGGGGCAGCAAAAAAAAGCAAAGGGGCCGAGAATCACCTCCAAACAAATCAATCGAGAAAGCGTGGTGGAGCACTCACCATGTGCGGCAGGCGGATATTGGCCAGGCTGCGGATCAGGGCGCGACTCAGGCCGGACAGCTCCATGAACAGAGCCTCGTTCTGCTCCTCGATCATCTTGTTCTCGTGCTCGATGCTCTTCAGGTTCTTCTCCATGGAGGAGATCTGCGAATCAAACCAAGAACTTGGAGTCAGAAGACACTGAGACAGTTGAAACGCCTGCAGTTCAGCTGACAAGGCCCTGAATTTATGTCATGGGCATGTGGATATTAAAACAAAAGAAAGGGACAGGACACATTTCAACAACGGCAGCGCTTTAGGTTTAAGGCCAGTGACTAGTGATGTTCAGATTTAGACACTTTTGTGTGGTTCGACACTCTTGTGATGCCAAAAATCATAAAGAAAGAAAAAAACTAAGTTGGATTTCTTGATTATTCATCTTACAAAAGTTGAAGAAACGCAGAATTAACATGTAGAATATTTATTCAAGTGCTCACAAAATGGTGACTCCACACATCATGCATGTTTGGATTTGAATTTGCTCGCATGATTGTCTCCTCAGCGACCACACAGCCAGCAGGAAAAGCTCCTGAATGTTGGTCATGTTATACCAAGGACCCCCGAATCTTTTGCTCTTCACTGAATCTCGTTAACATTTTTGGAATTTAAGAAAAAAAATGAAACACGTAGAATAAAATGATTTTGACAAATACCAAATGAAGTCACAGATGAGTAGTTAAAGGACTGCTGGAAAGTTAGAAATCTTAGTTTTTGCAGTTTCTGGCTCTGATAAATGGTGTTATTTTGGGAAAATGTAAAGGTTTTGGGTGTTCAGAGGGTAAACCAAAGCAAACCTCTGTCACTGGCAACTCATCATCTGCAAATGTGTGTAACTATAAGCTAACAGGAGCTACTACTGCTTTGTGAAACCCTCTTTTATTTTAAATATAACTGAGAGTTACATGTGTACAATATTTTTAAATACTAAAAATTGGCACTCGTGTGGATAAGAAGCCAGAAACCAGCACATGTAGTTATTTTTTTTCAAGTGTTATGTATTTAATATTTAATACAGTCATCGTGAAACACACACAATAAATGCTAATTCACTTATTTTGAAAACACACTGAGTTGTCCTTGCTCACATTTTTATGCAGATAAAGACATTCTGTAAATGCATGCAGCACTTAAAGCTCCCACACATCTTGTATAACGATGCACACGTAGAAATGCGCCGGCTGTGTAAATATTCTGCTCTGCGTGCACATTGTGTGACCTCAGCTCTGCAGCTGAAGGGTTCATACAGAACCTCTGGTGCTCTTTACTCCTCTGTTCTTCGTGGTCTTTCTCCATATATTGTCTTACAGCCTCTCTGTGTCTCTAGAGCTACATGGTCTCTAAGTTTTGCTGACGATGGTGCTTTCACTTTTCATTCACGTTTTCTCTGTTTTCCTTTTTTGAGCCTCTTTTATTTTTATTTTTTCATCAATTTTCTATGAAAGTACTCTGGTTTTTGGAAATAATTTAGCTTATTTGTGAAAAAATTAATAAAATATTTGTACGCTGTGTTTCAGTATTTACATGTTCAGGCTGTGGGCACAGACTTCTGGTCTTTTCGCAAGATTTCTGAATAACAAAATGTAAAACAACACCTACTTTATCTTTTAAAGTGAGCAAATGTAACTTGGTAGATACTACAACATAGTGTAACCGTAGCATAAAGAGAAAATGGTGATAAATTCAGCGCACAGACAGAAAAATGTCACTTTTACAGTTAATTTCTATCTACAGTTTTGCCCTCAGCGGCTGCCCTTCAGGCTGAGTACAGCCAGTAGCAGTAAAAGCCTTGAGTGTACTGAAGCGAGCGGTAATGAAATAATAGATCAAATGGTTCCTTAACCCTCCGAACCCCAAACAGTTTCTGGGTGTTTCTGGGTCCTCACTGTGCGCTCATTTTTATTGTTTTTTTTTTACTGCAATGTGAAGTCCTGTACCTTTTTGGAAACACAACAACCACGTCTACAAGGAGAGAGAACTCAGAAATGTCCTATATGCAGTCTGACACAGTTATAATGTCATGAATCAATAAAAAGACAAAAGGAAAGTTGAATTTCCTTGACTACCTATTTCACAGACCCTGGAATCAACATGTATAACTTTTTTCCAAGTGCCCACAGGTGTTACTAAATACTGGGAGGGGAAAAAGAGATAGATCTACATACTGGATATTTTCTTATATTTTTAATTTGCTTCCATATTATTGCATCTCTGCTCTGTTTAAACACAGCCTGCAGTTCAGCTGAGAAGTCTTGTGACTGTTCATGTCACAGCTGAGTCACTAATAGCTTTACATGGAGAAGCTCAGAATTTCTTTGTTTTGCACAAAATATGTAAACGCTTTATATTTAGAATTTTTCTAAATAAGACGTGTAGAAGGAAGCGATTAGGATGAAATATCACAAGTTTAGATGTGGTTGTAGTTCCCACTTTAGAACTGTCAGAAAGTTGAAATTCAGGTGTAGATGACGCTACATCCTCAAGAAATGTTACTGCCTACAGTCCTAATTTGCTTTAATACGTTTCTCTTATAGCCCTGTGATAGACTGGTTACCTGTCCAGGTGAACCTGCCTTCACCCTGAGTCAGCTGGGTTAGACTCCAGCCCCCCATGACCCTAGTGAGGATTAAGCGGTGTATAGATGATGGATGGATGGACGTTTCTCTTATCCGTTATGTGTGACCAGCAGTTCAGCAGAAAAGTCTGTAATATTTTTGTCATGTGACTGTTGGCTGAGTCACTAATGGCGTCATGATTGCACCAAACACTTCATCATTTTTGTTTTTTTTACAGAATCTTGTTAGTGCAGATTACTGTAAACAGATATGTGGAGAATTTCAAATAACACATGTAGAATAAAGTGAATTTAAAGAAATATCATGATTCTAGGTTTGGTCATTGAACGGCATGTCACAGATGAATAGTTCAACATCTGATGTTTGTTTCTGTGTTTACAGTTTACTGCAATTTTGGTCATTTGAAAAAAAAATCTAACATGTATTTCGTTGGGGGTTTAGAGGCTCAGAACTGATGACATGAAGTCTCACAATGAGTTCATGAAAACAACAATGACAGCGCCACACACCTGAGTCTGCAGGTTGACCATGTCGGCCTCCATCTCGTTGTTGGATTCATTGAGGTCGTTGATCTCTTTGTTGAGCTGCTTGATGTCCTCGTCGTTGTCCAAAACTAAAGGAAACACAGAACAGAAGCTCAGCATTTGGTCTGTATTTGTTTTGTCTGCTCTGTGCATTTTCAGTTTTATCTTTGCTGTTTATTTGTGCTGTACGTATTTATGTAGATGCATATCCTGCACCTGAAATCCTGAAATTAATTCCTTAATCTTTAATAATTTCTCAGGGTACGTACTCATCTCTTACAAATAGATTAATTGCTGACATGCTTTCTGTTTATTGTAAAAGGCGATTCATCGGTTACCAACCCTCCAAACATACGCTATGTCTTATCCACACATCTGACACAAGCACTGATGTATAAATATACGTTCCTACCGTCACTGGCTCTGAACTTGGTGCTCAGGTAGTCCTCTGTGGGGAACTTGGCCTTCTTCTTGGCGTACAAGGCTCTGGGGCATCCTGAGAGGCTGGAAGGGACACAAACAGGGTCACGGTCCTCGTTAAGTAACATAAAGCGAATGTTAGTTTTATGGGGTCCTCGCACGGTCGAAGTCAGACTCTTAGTTCTACTCTTAGTACTAATGGTACTAGAAGTTTTGGACATTGCATTAAAGCACCAGTAAAGTGAACATCGTGGCCTGTAAGTTTTTTTTTGGCAGCTTGACTTTATTAAAGTGTTTGTCTGAGCTAACAAAGCTAATGCCAAATACATCTAGAACACTGTGTTGGTACTGTCCTCCTGAAATGAAACACGTTTAATTGAATTAGATTTTATTTTCTGAGTAGTAAAACGTAGAATATGTTAAAACTGAGCATCAGACATCAAACAAATTAAGTAAAAAAGAAGCCATAAGAATGTCAGACCGACACTGCTTGCAGGCGGTTAGCTTAGCATAACAATAAGAATGGAAACAGCTAGCCCGAGTCTGTCTTAAGTTTGGCTAATCCTGTGATGAAGTCAGAATTAAACTGCATTTTCATAACATCTGAATCTACTTTCGATTCTGTTATTAAATCCGGTTGTCTTCAGGTTTGTAAGAAAAGTTGAAAATGACTAAAACCGAGAGATTTAATTGCGACGTGCTCTTTGTGTTAAGTGGCAGCATAATTGCTGATCACAACCCGCGATAAAATAAAAGGTTAAAGTCTTTTATGGTTCACGTTCTGTGACCTCAGTCCACACCTCTGCTTTAAATGTTCAACCCTCTGAACCCTGATGTTTCTTCACATTTTCACTCACTGTGGGCTCATTTTTCACTGTAAATTACAGTCCTGCACCTCTATGGAGAGAAAACAACCACGACTAGAAGGAGAGAGGACTCAGAGATGGTATTTGTACAGTATAACAAAAGTATAACACAATAAATCACAGAAAAAGTTGAATTTCTTTGATTAGTTATTTTACAAAACACCTGGAATCGTCATGTATGACATTTTCCCGAGTGTCCACAGGTTCACTAATACTGGGGAAAAAATAGTGGCTCAACATATTATAGATATTTAATATTTCTAATGTGTTTCCATACCTACTCTCTGCTCTGTGTGAACACTGCCTGCAGCTCATCTGAGAAGCCTCACTAATGGCTTCATAGCTGTACTTCAGAATTCTTAGGATTTTCTATAATTTAGCTCCTATTTTTAGGTTAAAAACAAAAAAAGAGAAACACGTACAATAAAGTGATTCTGATAAATATCCTTATGATGAGTAGTTCAACAACTGCTGATGAGTTAAAAGTCAGTTTTTACAGTTTCTGGCTTTGATAAATGAAATAATTTTGGCATTTTTTAAAGGTTTTTGGGGGTTCAAAGAGTAACACCCACAACAAACCTCCAACAAACAAACTCCTCATCTACAAATATGTGAAATTATAAGTTAATAGGAGCGACTATTTTTTTGTAAAAGCATCTTTTAACCTCCTTTTACTGTAAATACAACTTCAGGTAACGTGTACAGTATATTTTTGAGCTTCTAACATCATCCTGTTAATGCAAACACTGTATTGTTTGGTGATTTTGTTGAATTTTAAGCTTGGATTTGGCAGTTCTTTCCCCCTGAAATCATGGCGTGACTAGTTAAAGGCCTTTCAGAAAGTTGAAAATCATGTTTTTACAGCATCTTGCCATGATAAGTGGTGTAATTTTGGCAATTTTTGAAAAATGACATGCCTTTCAAACCCGCCAGCAGTCGACATGTAAAGTTCCTCAGATTTTTTTTCGCTCTGATTCTTGTCAGACGGAGCCTTAAAGTCACATTTATAGCGGCGGCGACAGGCTACATTTTCTAAACATTAGGAGAAGAAGCTAGCGTCTGGCTTACCTGCGGTGCGTGAGGAAGCTTCCGTTGGCGTGTCCGGAGCCGTCACACCCCGGCGTGGGGCAGGTCGGCCCCTCTGTCTTGAAGGCCTTCCAGTTGAAGGGCGTCCCGTTCAGCAGACCCTCCTTCTGGCGGCGGGCGGCCAGCGGACACCCGTAGGCGCTGCGGTGCGTCGCGTACTTCCCGCTGATGTGACCCAGGCTGTCGCATCCCGGCACCGGACATCTGCAGGGAACCGAGAGGAGAGAAGAAGAAGAAATGCGGAGAGTGAGGAGGGTTAGACGAGGAGAATCCCCACAAATATCAAACTGTAGAGAAAGTTGAAGCGCTATGATAAAAATGTAAAGATATGCACTTTCTCTACATTCATTTACATTCTTATGTCTATTTAACACACTGTTATTGTTATTTTTAACATTACAGTCAATGGTATCAACATGCTGCTACGGTTTTGTGTGCAAATGCAATATGAAGCCCATGTATTTCTTTATGTTCTGTCAATGTACTCTACAGCACTCTCTACATTCAGAATCAGTATCTGCAGTAAGTGTATTTTCCCATCAGTCAGGGCCTTTTTGTTTGATTCAATTACGGGGGCAGGTCACTACCTCTGCATATGATTTACAGTGACTTTCCTCTTCTCTCTCTCTCTCTCTCTCTCTCTCTGTCTCTCTCCTCTCTTATTGCATTTTACTTTTACCGTCAGTCACGCTAAAAGCAGACATTATGGCTTTCTGAGCGGTACGAACTTTAAAAGCTCGGAGTCCTCCTGGTTGTCCTTGGTAGGAGTTTTAATTCCACTTTTCTTGGCACGCGGGCACCCAGAGAGACTGAAAACAGAAAGTATGGAGTTGATAACATAGGGTTGAAAGAAAGGTTCTGGTGAAGTGATTTGCTTGATAAAGGGTCAGAACATTATGAAGGAAGAAGAAGACGTTTTTACAAACCAAATCAACTCAAAAGACGCCTAGTAGGAGCATGGAAAGGTGTGGAAATGTGTGAGTATGTGGTCCCTGTCTAAGTCTACCGTGAACTAGTCCTCTCTGACTGACTGTGTGTGTGTTGATGTGTGTTGATGTGTGTTTGGGTGTGTGTGTGTGAGTGTGTGTGTGTGTGGTTTTCATGTGTGCTTTCGTGTTGTTTTGTTACCTTCTGTGAGAGGCGTAGTTTCCTGTGATGTGACCGGAGCCGTCACATCCTGGGGTCGGGCATCTGAGGAGGGAGGAAACGGGAACCATATTTAATACTGAGCAATTAAAAAAATAAATAAAAATACACCAAGAACCTGTGTGGCAGTCATGAAAATGGAGTGATGCCATGAGAGAACTGAAGGTTGTAAGAGCTAGTTGTTTTTGACACATTTTTAATGAGACGTGTCAAAAAAAAAAAGGGGGGATGGAATATTTCAAGTTAGATTTGGTTGTTTGAAATCATGCCATGATTAGTTTAAGGACTGTACGGATGCTGGAAAATGGAGTTATGTCATGAGAGAAATGGTCCGATAGTTAACTCTGTGTAAACACGGCCTGCAGTTCATCTGAGAAGTCAGTTTTATCAAGGAGCTCTGTTTGCTTGTTTTGTTTTAACAGGATATTTTAAGAGCAAATGGACTGTAATTGGCAAATTTTTAAAAGGAGACAAGTAGAAAAAAGTGATTTTGATGAAATATCCCAATTTTAAACTTAGATTTGGTTGTTTTTCCCACTGAAATCTGACATGATTAGTTTAAGGACTGTCAGAAAGATAAAAAACAAGCAAATAAACAAAAAAACAATGTGGTTGTCATGAAAATTAAATTATGTCATGAGAGAAATGGTCTGCTTCTCTATTCTATGTAAACACAGCCTGCAGTTCATCTGAGACGTCAGTTTTATCAAGGAGCTCTGGTTTGTTTTGTTTTAACAGGACATTTTAAGAGCAAATGGATTGTAATTGGCAAATTTTTGAAATGAGACTTGTAGAAAAAGGTGATTTCGATGAAATATTCCAGTTTTAAACTTAGATTTGGTTGTTTTTCCCACTGAAATCTGACATGACTAGTTTAAGGACTGTCAGAAAGATAAAAAACAAGCAAACAAACAAATAAATAAACAAAAAAACAATGTGGTAGTCATGAAAATGAAATTATGTCATGAGAGAAATGGTCTGCTTGTTAATTCTGTGTAAACACAGCCTGCTGTTCATCTGAGAAGTCAGTTTTATCAAGGAGCTCTGGTTTGTTTTTAATTTGTTTATTTTTTTAAACAGGATATTTTCAGAGCAAATGGATTATATTTGGCAAATTTTTAAAATGAGACGTGTAGAAAAAGGTGATATTGATGAAATATCCTAATTTTAAACTTGGATTTGGTTGTTTTTCCCACTGAAATCTGACATGATTAGTTTAAGGACTGTCTGAAAGCTGAAAAACAAACAAATAAACCAACAAAAAGACAATGTGGTAGTCATGAAAATGAAATTATGTCATGAGAAATGTGTAAACACGGCCTGCAGTTCATCTGAGAAGTCTCTGGATTTTAATCATGTGACTGTCGGTCACAGCTGAGCCACTAATGACTTCCTAGTTGCATCAAGAAGCTCAGAATTTTCAGTTTTTTACAGAATATTGTAAAAGCAAATGGATTATTTTCAGTAAATGTTTAAATAAGACATGTAAAAGAAGAAGTGAGTTTGATTAAATCTTCGTTTTAAGCTTAGATCTGGCGTTTTTTTCCACCGAAATGTTGACACGATTAGTTTAAGGACTGTCAGAAAGTTGGAAAAACCAAAAGCAAACAAACCCAAAGAAACAGTGGTAGTCATGAGAATGGAATCATGCCATGAGATAAACGGTCCGCTTGTCATTTCTGCTTTTTTTTTTGGTCACATTTGTTTTAAATCCAATCTTTTCAGGCTCTTTGCCATTTAAATACTTCTTGTATCCGTCTGCAGGGAGCCGTGAAAAGCCGAGTTTCTACTAAAGAGCTGTGCATACCACAGACGTGCGGTTTCATTTCACATTAACATGAACTGATTGAAGTGAAAGCAAGCGTAGACCAAGCCAGACGCAGGGAGGAAAAAAAAAAACACCATGACAGATGCAGCAGCAGCAGCAGCAGCAGCAGCAACAAAAGATAAGTTAACATCAGCAGAATGAAGCATTGTGGCGCTGGATGGTGTCAGTAGCGGCGCGCTGAAGTGGCAGCGAAAAGGCAATGAAGGTGTAGAGCAGACATACTTGAGTTCAGGGGTGTGGGCCGCCATGAGGGACCGAAGGCTCTTATCAGCGAGAGGACACCCAGACAGACTGAGAGGAAAAAGAGAAAGAGCGAAGGACGGGCGGAGGAGGAGGAGGAGGAGGAGGAGGAGGAAGAGAAGGACGGAAAAAGGGGGACGAGGAGGAGGAAAAAGCGAGGGGATTGAAAAAGGAGAGAGGAGAAAAGACGTGAGTGAAGGGAAATCAAGAATGCAAGGCATACCAAGGTCATTTAGGAAGAAGAGGACAGACAGCAAGAAGTAAATTACTGATGCATATCAAAGTCAATGACCGTCTTTGCTTCCCGGCCTCACGCTACATTATTGCCTCTGGCATGTCAGGATCAAATAAAATATTTGAATTAGTCCTGGTGCGCCTGCTTTGGACTGGGCAGCAGAGGAGGAGTCTCAGCAGAGCTCCGTTTCATATATAGAGCAGTGGATCATCGGCGGCCGAACACACCTTCGATGGGACGCGTAGTTTCCAGTGATGTGTCCGCTGCCGTCACAGCCGGGTGTAGGACAGCTGCAGAGGACGAGACGGACACAGAGGACGCAGTCAGAAACAGCAGAACAGTTCTGATTAAATGTGGGAACAGAAGCTGCCACACGCTGAAAATAATTAGTCGTTTAGCAGCTTTTTGACCTGCAAGGTTTTCTTCAGGCAGTAATCCATATGAACAACAACACACAGGATGTATACAAGCAGAGAACAACAAATGAACAGATCACATGACGCAAAATGTAACCGCGTAATCACCATCTGGTTCGAAAGGTCTGTTGTCTTTAAAAAATACCCAAAATTACATCATTTGTCGAAGCCAGAATCTGTAAAAACAGAGAACATCAACCAAATCGAAACTTAAAATTGTGGTATTTCATCAAAATCGCTTTATTCTACATGAGTCGTTTAAAAATTAGCATTGTGTCAAACAGATTCTGTAAAAAAAACAAAAGTTCTGCACTCCTCAGCACAACTCAGCTGCAATCAACAGTCATGTGACAAACATCTTACGTTTTGGTCTGAACTAGGCTGAACATTTTCACGTTCTCTCTGCTTCTAGTCAGGTTGTGCTGCTTCCATAGAGGTTCAGGACTTCAGATTGCAGTGAGGAAAAATGTGCTTCTTGTTCTTGTTCGCTAAGAAGTATGCAATTTCAGATTTTCTTTCACTGTTATTTTTCATCCTGGTTTGGATCAGCACACGATCCTCCTGTTTAAGTTCGT